CGCGCACCAGGCCGCCACCGATTTCGCTTTCCCGGGCCGCCCCGGCCCGACGCCGCGCCTTCTTCCTCACCGGAGGGCATCCCGACGCCCACCCACACCTCGCCGGAGTAGCCCCGACAGCGCCGCGCCCGCCCAGGAGCCCCCATGCCTCGATCCAGCGCCGCTGTCCACCACCGCCCGTCGCCAACACTCCATTAATTCTAAACCGCCGGTATATATATATTATATTTATGAATTATATTAACGAAATGTGTATTAATGTATATATGTATGAAATTATATATGTATGAAATTATGTATGTATGAAATGTATATATATATATATCAATTAATGTATATATGTACGAAATTAATGCGTGTGTATATATATATATCAATTAATCTATACATGTATAATTTTACCTTAGGAAAAAAATCAATTGTGTTATATTCTGATACCATGTGGCCTATACCCTAAACCCTAAACCACCCTAAACCCTAAACCCTAAACCACCCTAAACCACCCTAAACCCTCCCCGACCACCGACGCTGGCCGGCCGCCCCGCGCAGGCACCACCTCCCCGAAATATGTATGAAATGTCTATAAAACCCTAATTGCATAATTATTGTTTTATAATTGTTTAGGCTCGATCTCTATGGCCGACCCGAGAGACGATGACCTAGAGGCGGAAATGATGGATATTATCAACGTCGGCGCTGAACATTGTGTCGATGTTGATAATGACCAGCAGGAAGACGACGGGAGTCAATACTTGAATCTCGATCATATTGTTGAGGAAGTTGTTCATGAAGATAATTCCGGCGAGGTATATATTTCTCAATATCTAGCTCTCATTTATTTATTATGCATACATGTAGCCCACTGGATCGACCTTCGTTTTATAATACTTTTTGTGTTTCTATGCGTACATAGCCGTCTGGATCGACGACGACGACGGGGAACACAAAGAATGTTCGAGGGGCCAAAAAGCCGTTGGAAGGCCGCTACATCATCTCAGAATTCAACGTGGCTATAGGCAAACCACTAGGACAATATGCACAGAAATTCATGTACCACTGTGGGTACCTTGTAAGGGACCAGCTTCTGATCAATGTCCGTGAATGGAAAAAAATAACAATGCTCCTCATATTAGTTATGTCTCTGATAAGGACAAAGAGCTGATTTGGCAAGATGTTCTTGCACATTTCACGCTCCAAACAGATGATTATCATGAAGACATCACCCATGAAAGGTTGACGAAGCGAGTTAGGCACTGGACAATGAAGCAGATGGCCACCCAATTCCAATCTTGGAAGAAGCAGCTGTACAAATCATACGTCAAGAAGAACAAGACTCCAAATTGGAATGATAAGGGCCCAATCGCGAAGGCAAGGCCCTACTGGGAGGAATTTGTACAGTACAAGACATCAGAATAGGGTGCGGAACGGGCGAGAAGGAACCAAGAGAATTCCAGACAAAAGCAATACCACCATAACATGGGATCAGGTGGCTACGCGACTTCCGTTCCCAAGTGGCAAAAAATAGAAGCAGACCTTATTGCTAAGGAGGTCGTACCTAAATCAGCACCGTGGCCTAAACGCACAAAGCATTGGTTTTTAGGTCATAGGGGAGGATTGGACCCAGTCACCGGGAAGCTCGTCCATGGCACAAAACTCGAAAGAGCAACAGAAAGGTTGATTCAAATTCTAAAAGCTAGAGATAGTGGACTATTCTGGCCCAACAGAGAGAAAGATGAACTGATATATTCCATCGGGACCGCTGAGCATTGTGGACGAACTAGAGGCAAAGGGGCCGTTCCGTGGGTGCAAGGTTTCCCTGAATGGATCGATTCGTACAGAAGCCGCCAGAGACGGAAGGATGAGGAGGCAGAGAGGATCCGCATCTTGCAACAATATGTTATTGAGTCACGGGAAGCGGTGCTTGAATCACAAAGGCGAGAAAAAGAAATGCAAGCGAAAATGCAAGAGGAAGTCGCAAGGCAAGTGCAAATACAATTGAGTGCCCACGGGATTACAACAGCTCCGGGAATCAACATTAGCCCCCCCGATCAGTTGAGAAGCAGTTGTGTGCTTCTACGGAGCTGCCTGATGCCATAAAAGATGCAGAGCTGCGCTTCCCCATGGATGACGTCACTAAACCTTTTACATCATGTGAGCTGCACATTCCAAAAGATAATGGCACAGTGAAGGTGGCTATTGGTGTTGTAAACCCTATCGACCATACCAAGACACCAAGAATCCATGGGACAGTAGTACCAGCTGGATATGCTACCGTCTCGGTGGATAAAGCTATTGAAGGTTTTAGCGTTGTGCCTCTTGACATTCATGGAGGTGATGGGGAGAAGACCGTGGGAGAAGCAGAGAAGTCATTCATTGCATGGCGCAAGCGCTACATCAATATTCCCGGGAAGCCGTTGACGCACAATAGGTACGGATGAAAGTGAACGAAACGATTTTTTTTATCAATTTTATATTGCCTCTTAAATAACAATTGACTCATTGTCTTCTATACGCACACAGCAGGGCCTCCCCCAACCTAAGTCCAATAGTAAAGAGGAGTTAGATGATGCGGTTAAAAAAACCGTCGAAGCATTCTTCTCAGGCATAGGAAAGAGGAAGCAGCAGGAGCAGAAGCACTTCCACCTACCTCCAGCTAAACTAAGACGGATGGTGGAAGCTGAGCAGAAAAAGAGGCGGCAATCTCGTAAGCCCTCGGCACCATCAGACTTTGACCACACTCTTAGCAAGATAATCAAGAAAGCTGCTAAAGCAGGGAAAACTGTTGCACAACTCGGAGAACAAGAATTGCAATCAGCCCCTCCTCTAGTTATTGCTAATGAATATGGTTCAAACATAGATATGCTGGATATGATGAAAATACCTACTGATAAAGAAGTGGATATGGCGGAATTTGCTAACTTTTATGCTATGAGAGGTATCGACCTTGATGATTTTCTCTTTGAAAGTGCGCCGGTAGCGGATGAATGGTAGAAATATGAGCATGGCAGGAGTCTATGGAATCCTAAGACCATCAATGAACTGGGTACACAATTGTTCAAGCTAAACACCTTGTACCTCGACGCGTGTCACCGGAAAGAGTTCTATATTTCTGTCAGAATCAAAGACGACCATTGGTTCCATGGCGATGACGTTATGTACATTTAGCTTGCTGAATTACACCAACTAGTCCACCGAAACTCTCTCGACAAGACTCTCATCAGCTGCTATTGTCTGTAAGTGATTCTTTCTACTAATTAATAATAAGTCGCTACGTACGTACATGTCTGTGTTTATTATCCTCACTCTATATATATGATGCAGGTTTGAGATGGGAGAGTGTAAAAAGAGAGGGTGTACTGATATTGGTTTCATTGATCCACATATCGTATTCAAAAACCCTAAACCCCAACCAACATGGAAAGCAGAAACGGAGGCCAATATCAAGATGTTCTTAGAGAAGCAACGTGACAAGAAATGTATACTCTTCCCCTACAACTTCAAGTAATTGTTCATAATGTTGACGATCGTGTATCCATATATATATGTTCACTGCACCTGTTAGCTAATTGATGAGTGTTAATGGACATGACAGTGAACACTGGATATTGATGGAACTCGATCTGGAGAAAGGTCTTCTAGGCATCTGGGACTCGATGAGAAAAGAGCAAAAAGAGTTCCAAAAGATAGATATTATTCAGAGTTAATTGCAGTCTCACTAGCAAAACTATTCCAGTCTCTCTGCATGCAAATTAATGGTTCAAATATTTTTTTATGTTATTTGGTAGTTGTTGAAAAAAGGTCTGTCAAGAACACCTTATGAAACGCAAAGTGCCACTGAAAGTAGTGCTATACAAAGTAAGTACTATATACCTATCTTAGTTCAATTTCCCCATGCTCGAATGATGACGAATCTTTTTCTCGTAAAGTGGGTTCTGCTGCAGCCCCAGGGGACCAATCTCTGTGGATACTATGTTTGCGAGTTCATGAGAGTGTGCTCAAAAAGAACTAGTCTAGAGGGAAAAGGGTAAGTGTACACACATATATATATATATATATATATATATATTCTTCATACATATATTTATATATATATATATATTCGTGATAGATATAATTTATTTATCATTATTGTTGATACATATATATATATACTAATATACTTTTTGTTTATCTCATATCTCAAATTGAAGACTCGTTGGTTGAAGGAAAAAAACCCTAGACACACACCATCTCAAAGCAATCCAAGAGACAATAGGTGGATTTCTGAATGATCACGTCTTAACTCCCGGCGGCGAGTTTTACTATGACCCAAATATGTGATGATGAAAGCCAAATTTCATATTGATCCAAAGAACATGTGATGATGAAATATAAAATTAATGTAAACTTTCCATGTGACGATGAAATGTAATATTATGTTTTAGTTTACTTTTACTTGTGTTGCTTGCGTGCATTGATCGAGCGAAAACTTTACAGTACGCGCGCGTATACGTATATTACTTTACAACGAATAATGCGTATTCGAAAACCAAATTAAAACAAAAAAGAATCATCAATTGAAATAAGCAGGAAAAGAAAAAAAGACCCTTTAGTCCCGGTTGGTAATACCAACCGGGAATAAAGGGGCCAGCCCAGGCGCTGGCATAGCTACCTTTTTAGTCCCGGTTGGTATCACCAACCGAGACTAAAGGTCCACTTCTATTCCCGGCTACTAACCCTTTATTCCTGAACTACTATTCCCGGCTGCGTAACCGGGAATAAAGGGAGTTGGCAGCCGGGAATATAAGCCCTTTTTTTTACTAGTGATATGGTTCTAAGGGCTTGTCTGATGCAAGAGCTAATTGCTACTTAAAATTATGTCTAGTGCATTTAAACAGGAGAGATAATACGTGGACTAATTTTTAGATAAGTCTTTAGCTAGTTGTTAGCTAATTAGCTAGCAACCATGGCTGATTTGAACTAATTTTAGCATAACTAGCTATGTGTATCCAGAACCGGTGATGAAGAAACGTCTACAAGACTTCGCGCTTGCCCTCGTCTCCACGTCAATCGACAGCATGGCAGGAATTGACTTAAGTGGATGCAACTCTCGCTGAAAGGTTGTCCCGCCATAGCCGTAACAAACAAAATTATTCTACTTTCAATCTACTTTTTTGCAGAACGGTTGTTGTATCTCAAGTTCTTTTCTACTTTGTCCTTGAGGATTTTATATTCTACTGGGGGCACAGGGCACACCATACGAAATGGCTATACAAACATGTTCACAGCGTCCACCACGAGTAAGTGGTATTGCTTCATTACATCTTACTTTACATGTTGCAACATTTTCTAGTCTATGACAGAACAAATCCTTGCAGGTACGCCACACCCTTTGGTTTAACTTCTGAATATGCCCACCCAGCTGAAATTTTGTTCCTGGGATTCGCCACAGTTGTTGGTCCTGCTCTTACTGGCCCTCATCTGTTCACCTTGTGGCTGTGGATGGTGTTGAGGGTATTGGAGACAGTTGAAGCTCACAGCGGCTATCACTTCCCATGGAGCCCATCAAATTTCCTGCCACTGTATGGCGGGTAAGTAAGCTAGATCATTGTTTTCCTTTCCCCCTCTTAAAAGGGACTGTGTTTGTTTATTTGAAGCTGAACGTTTTACCGTGTGCTCAACTTTTGTCATGATGAATAGCTCGGACTTCCATGACCACCATCACCGTGTGCTGTACACAAAGTCAGGGAACTATGCCTCGACATTTGTTTACATGGACTGGTGAGGATCCGTAGCATGACTGTTGAGTTGTGCAGGGGCTCTAAACTCCGCCATTACGTAAGAAGCTCATTGGTTGTGTTTCAGGTTGTTCGGGACGGACAAGGATTATCGCAAGGCAAAGACCATTGAGGAAAAAGAAGGGAAGAATCTGTAGATTGTGGAAGCTGCTTAGTGAAGACATCAGCAAGACTGGCGATAGAGTTGCGCTCACGGAAAAGGAGATGGATGCACCCTAGAAACAGTCAGTCAGTTATTGCCTTGACGATCGATATTATAGGTTGAGATTTGGATTTCCTGTGTTTGCTATGATCAAGAATGAGGTCCTGGCGACCTTGGTCTGTCATGAACTGAATTTAATAGTTTGTAATCTCCTCTTGGGGGTTTGCTTTGCGTTTGTTTCGACGACTCGATGGGGTGTATACATATGGGAATGGGATGGCCTGGCAGCATTGAATTGAACCATCAGAGACGGCGGGAGTAGCTTTGCACCCTAGAAACTGTCCATGAAAGTCTGGGATGGCAAGGATTGATTGCTTGTGTACTTTGTTGGTAAGCGATTCCGGTTTTGTTCTTCTCGTTTATATAATTTTACTGGATCTCTGTATATATGTGCGATACATTTCCTTTGCATGCTCTGGCTCAGCTCAGTCCTGTATTGTAGCTCGTAGTCCTAGGCTAGGCATGAACGTAACCAACAAACTTGCATCGGTATCTGGAAATCAGCATTGCTACTTGGGGATGCAAGCTTTCAATTATGCTCATTTGTGTCAACATATGCTCTTTCCTGACCGTCGATTTAGAGGACATCAAGCTAACAGTTTAAGTAAAATATGTGCCGCAAAGATTCTAATTATTGATGGACTCTTTTGTGTTAAGCTATCTCTAGTCTTATTTTCTCCAAAACAGTGGCTAACAACAGAAGTGTGAAAGAAAAGGAAGGAGAAAAGTAGTCTCTCATCTTAACCATTGCCTGTTCAGTGGATAGCTGAGATGCTGGTACTGCATATGTTGCAGTAGCAGTTACAACTGCACACGATCTGCAGTCCAGTCACAATTTTAAATTTTGGTGTGAGGGAGTCAGACAAGGACAATAGGACTATGGGGCCTAGATTACATGTGATGCCTAAACCCTGTCTGGAAGACAGGTATTATACACAATACATCTGTAAATTACAGGCCAACATGGCCAGGAAAAGCTTTTTCTTGGATCATCCGTCTTCAAAAAAAGACTAGGTGAATGCCCGTGAGTTGCAATGGGAAAAGACACATTTATACAGTGCGGTGATATATTCAAAAGTGATGGAGTCACATCGGTATAAATTCTGGTTGAAAAGATTATTACTCTATTGGCATTGAATGACTCATATTGACATAATTGAATTCCTTTCTCCTATGCATCACACAAAAAATGTTTGTTAAATTAAGTTGAAATCCATTGTATGCAATAACACAGTGTCGTCAAATACAATAAACAAGAGCTGTTGCTTAAAGGTGGAATCATATAGCAGCCGTAAATTGGCTTGTGCTTGTCGATATGATCGTAAATTTCCAGCCGAACACTATTTTTCTTTGACACAAATTCGCCAAAGCAGATTCTTCACGAACCAAAGAACGATACGAAACCAACCCAACCGAATGAGCTGTACATATAATTAGAATGGAAACGTTGACTATTCTATTCCAATCGTATAACTAAACAACTACAAACCCTTTACATACTCCTGTGTCCTGTCAAACCGTTTTTGCAGCATCATTCATCTGCTCAATTGTATCTTCTCATATGTAATCACTAATTCACCAGAGAACAGTGCTACGGTACTCCTCTTCCTTGCCGATATATGACATGCCTCGGTGACAATGACACATTGACACCACAGCCAATTCAGCTTCAATGCCACCCATCGTCATGCAGCAAGTGCTTGGACCTTGCCATGGACCCAGGTGTGCTGTCCTGCAGAGCTTCATCTTTTTTTTTCTTTGGCTTCATCGTGTTTTACACTAACTCATCCATGGGCAGCTGCAAGGCCGCGGCGTTTGCCGAGTTCGACGCAGAGGTACGCGAAGGAGACCCCGGCCACGGGGATCTCGACGGCGAACTCGGTGCAGCAGATGACGGAGAAGCCCGAGGCGATGTAGGAGAGCACGATGCCGGCGTGGTCGTGCGCCTCCTTGCCTGCGCCCTCGTGGTACTCCGGCGAGGACACCTCCGCGGGCGCCATGGCCGCAGCTCGCGGCCTGCAGTGCAGGGGCACGGAGCACGCCTCTGCACGCTCCCGCTGCAGAGTACTGAGCGCGGCCACGGACTGTAGGAGGTCGGCACGGCTTATGAGGGTGGAGGCCGAATGAGGAAGAAGAAGGTACCGATCTCTGCTATTTCTCCTGGCGACCACCCTCAAATGCGGGCCGGCTACGAAAGCGGCGGTGCCCAACTTTGTGTTACCAAAGCCCACGTAGGTGCGACGGCGAGGCTCATAGAGTAGGCTCATGCGCGACACGCTACGCTAGCATGTGGTGGGGTACAAGTATGTACTCGCTATACAATATACAAGCACGCGACACCAAGCAATACAAGTCCGTGCATCCGCGTGTCGGCACGCATCACCCGTGGTGGCAACACGAGACGCCAAAAGGCAACCTGTGGTCTCGTGTGTGCGACTGTATTCTACTACTCCACTGTCATCTTTCCTTTTTCCGATGATGGCCAGCGTGACTACTGATCTGCTGGTCGAGTGTGACAGACAAAACAAACCACGCATGTCGTCTTTGATGGAGATGGGGAGCTCGAAATTTTCTCTTAGGAGTAGTAGATCTCAACGCATTGCTATGGGAGAAACCGAAACACTGAGGGGACAGAGGAAACAGCAGCACGCACAGGCGGCACACGCTACTAGACCCATCGATCCACGACTCAACAAACGACAATACTTGTCACACCAGCTGACAAAAAGTCCAAAACAAACCACACAAACACAAACTTCTTATTCATGGACTGTTCGCGATCAACGCGCGACACGGCGACAGATCGAAACGGGGCCGCATGCACTCGCCGGGCATGCATGCATGCTCCCCCCCCGGCCGCCTGTGCGTGCTGCTGTTTCCTCTGTCAGTTGCGGCAGTGCGTGGTGCAGAAGCAGCGGCGGCGGAAGCCGCGGCACTTGCCGTCGGGGAATCCCCTCGGTCCTGCAGACGTTGGCGCAGTTGGCCCGGCGCACGCAGGGGCCCCGGAACTTGTGGCTCTGCGACTGGCACGTCCGCGCCTCCGCCACCGCCACCGGCCCGATCTCTGCATGCGCATGCACGTGTATAGCCGAAACACCATCTCAGATCAGCAGACCGTACCAGATGAGTTCACGTTCACAGATGAATAGATGATATATAAGCCAGCCCGCCGCACATACCTGCGGCCGCGAGCAGCAGCATGACGAGGAGGACGGCCGTGAAGAGCTTGCGAGAGAGCTCCATATTGCTCCGGCCGATTCCTTTCTTCTTCTCCCTTCTTCTTCGGCGCTGGTCTCAGCGGCGACAGAGGGGATACAACTGAAACTGAATCGAACACGGGTGCCCTTCCCTGCCTTTATATACAAGACATGAGATGGCCGCCGCGCCGCCCGCCGGCCACTTGCACAAGATGCGAGACGTGACGCGAGTGAAAGGGCAGCAAGGAAAGCGAGCGAAGCAGCACGAGCCTAGTCCACGTGAGGCCCGCCCCGCGTGTGCAGCGAGGCGCGTACGCGTAAAGGCCCTGCCGTTTCCCGAAGGCCCGCTACCCTAGCTTTTGTTAGCCTGTTTGGTAGTACAGATGCCCTGGCTCGAACTATGCTAATAACGAATTAATTAGGTTTAATAAATTCGTCTCGCGGTTTTCTGACGGATTCTATAATTTATTTTTTTATTAGTATCCGAACACCCAATGCGACACCCTAATGTGACACCTCAAAACTTTACACCCTGAAACTAAACCAGGCCTAAGTATAAAAGTAGCTCGCGAATCTGGCTCCCGAAAACTTAAAAAATAAAACGGTAATGCTTGGCGTCCGTCGCCGTCCCCGCTAGCGTCGTCCGCTTGCTCTGCGCGCTGCACGTCCTACTCGCGGGACGGTACCCGTCCTCGCCCGCACCGTCTGCCCCCCTCCCCCCCTTCCTCGGACTCGTGCCTCCCGTCGCGCCCGTGCTCTCTCTACCTGCATATGTTTATCTCGATCTTTGCATATATTTCATACATATATTGCATGTGTTTTATCTGGATATTGCGTATGATTTGCAATAGTTTTCAAGTGTTTTCAAATCTTTTTATAAGTGTTTCAGATGCATGTTTTAAGTGTTTCATTTATCTTCGGACGTATGTTGTAAGTGTTGCATCTGAACGTTTTAAAAGTAGCTAAGCATAGAAACGCCTAAGCTTGTCGATGTGCCAGGAATTGGGTACGTCTGTGCCATCTAGGCGAGCTAACCTGTAAGATGTAGGGCGTGTAACCTCCTTGATCATGAAGGGTCCTTCCCATGGGGTTGCGAGTTTGTGGACACCTGTCTGATTCGTCTTCCACTTCAGGACCAGGTCCTCGACGACGAAGAACCGCTCATTGACGTTCTTGTTATAGTACCTGCGCAAAACAGCAAGGTATTTGGCTGTACGTACGTAAGAGTCGAGCCGCTTCTCTTCTGCACTATTCACTTCTAGCTCCCGCACTTCATTGGCCTTGACTTCGTCGAAGTTCTCTACCCGTGCTGATCTGAAGGCTATATCTGCTGGAAGTACTGCCTCAGCACCATAAACCATAAAGTATGGTGATACGCCGGTATTGCGACTGGGCTGGGTTCTGAGACCCCAAACAACGGCTGGTAACTCTTTGAGCCATCTTCCAGGAGCTTTGTCATTCTCTCTGTACATCCTCTTCTTAAGTCGTCCAGATCATACCGCTTTGCCCGCTCGACCATCCCATTAGCTCTAGGATGTGCCACCGAGACGTATTTTACTACTATGCTCCTTTCATCGCAGAAGTCCCAAAAAGCGTTCCCGGTGAACTGAGTACCCAGATCGGTGATGATGCTGTTGGGTATGCCAAAGCGGTGGATGACCTGGTCGAGGAACGCGACAGCCTTTTCTGAAGATGCCGTGACCAGGGGCATGTACTCTATCCACTTGGAGAATTTGTC